TGGACATCACTGTTTCAATGATCCAAGAGGGAAATCCAGCCCCTGAAACACACATTCTACACATTAGCTCTCTTTTCTACACTTTAATCCTCACAACCACCTTTTAAGTAAACTCTCTTCTTAGCTCTAGTTTGCTGAGGGGTAAACTGTCAGAGCTGCTCAGTGATCTTCCCACGTCCTCACAGCTGGGAGGTCGTGTGGCTGAGACTCTACCCCAGAGAGTCTGAATCAGGGTCTGTTTTCCCCCCATCACCCTGTACGGGACTTACAGCAGAAGGATCCACGCTGTGTGTCAGCCAAACTTCCTGAACTGGCTCACGACCTGAAATTCAAGCCCACTCTCCCGGACTCACACTTGCAATAGGAAAAAAAATCCATTTCAAAGCATAAACAAGTCACTCACCGAGCTGCACTGGGACCTCAATCAGGAACCAGGCTGACGGCCCTGCTGCTACTTCCGGGCCGAACCCAGGAACCCAGGAACAGCACATGTGGGCTCTGCGAACGGCTCCACCCCCTGAGTCTCGCTAGCATCCCCAGGGAGCTCTGGGAGCTGTAGTTACGGGGACTTGGGATGGCCCCTGCACATCTAGTTCAGAGGCACTCGACTGCAAGAGTGGAGAGAAATTCCCTAGAGAGCCCTGGCCCCAGGCTGTGGTGGGTGGGACCTTGCATTCCACACAGCTCCTGCTCTCAGGGGACATCAAGTCAGATGTCCTGCGTGTGACCCCAGAGGTGGGGGTTTTGAGGGGATCCAGGGAGACCAGGTGCACTGACCTAGAGGAGCAGAGGGACATGGGTGTCTTAAGTCACTCCCCCAGGTTACGACCGTCTTTCTTTCTGAATTTCCACGAGGCCCCACGGCTTCTATTTCTCTTCCTTTCCTCCCTGACCTGCAGTCCCGTTCAGCACTCATGCCACCTAGAGGCCCTGTGTGATGTGTCCAAGTCATGTTCATGGATGCGTGTGATATTTATGAACTGGTTTGCTTTCTACTCATGTTTTTAATTTATTCTGATGATATTGCTCAGTCACTCTGGCTGTTTCTAATGCACTTCCCTCTACAGTTTATTTCCAAAAGTGCCTACGTGACACAAGTGTTGCCTTGTTCCCCCCC